TTTTGAATTTCAAACACACGTTATTGCTCACAGTGGCCTGTACATGCGGCCAGTACAGTCATCATGTTAAATACTCTTATGATTTTTATTAAAATGTGAACATCTGACAGATAATTTCAACGTGTTTGTAACTTTGAGACAAATGACATTGTCACATTTTCAGGAATGAGAATTGTCTGCAGAATTCTCCAGATTCTGTTTTGTCAGTTGTCACTTTTGCAATACATGCCATTACACTATATACTCTTAAGTGGTATAGTTCCTCAGACCACAAACTGACTTTCAGTCTTTGTATTTTTTCCAAAAAAGAAGTTGTATTATTACATTTCTTATGATATCATCTAATTTTTATAGGATATTCCTTTACATCTTTACAGAACAAAAAAGATTCTGAAACAATTGTACGTGAAAGTCAGTCAATGTCCTTGAAAATAAACACATCTGGTACCCTGTTTGACTGTACAACTGGTTCCATCAAACTATCGTCAATCTGTTGCCTTAATGGGAAAATGATTTAACCAAATCCAATGGAATAACTACCATAGTATATCAGAAATTTCTTTTGTTCAGTTTTCAGATAATATTTTTCAAACATAGTCTGTAATATAAGTTGCCAGTTTGAAACGTTACCAAGTAGAATCTTTAGAAAGCGGCCTTCTAACTGACTTATATTGACTTCTTAGTAATTTAATTGTTCAGTCAAAGTTCACGAAAGGTCATTCTGACATGACCTTTGATGGGATGTTCTTGGATCTTTTGTGTCACAGTAGCAAGCACTAAGATCTGATTTTAATGAGGTTTGTGTTTGGGATAGGTTGCACTCAAAATGGCTTTTTCCTTGGGGAATGTGGTAAATACACTATTACTGGTATGTTGTACTCTTGAGTACTTTGTGATGAAGTGTTTTTTAGTAACCAGACATTGAACTCCCATTCAAAGTAGAGTAAGTCAATTTTCATCTGGACCAGGCCCCGATTTCTCGAAACAAACTTGAGTCTGAGTTTTGACTTAATTTAAGGTTTTTACTCAAATTTGAGAAAACGCAGGAAAATGCATTTCCCGGAATAAACTGATATCGATACTAAACTCAACATAGTAGACAATTTGATTTTTGTAGATAGGTTACTTGAATTGTTTCGGCTTTTTGTTTTTAGAAATGCAGTTGAGTTTAGAAATTCAGCTGTTTCAAATTGTCAAACTCAATTTGAAATTTGAGTAAAAACTTGTTTGTTTCGAGAAATCTGGTCCAGTATGTAACCAAACTGGAAAGTAACACCAAGTATGCATTGCATATATAAGATAAATTACAGTAAACTACTGTTATACCAAACTCAAAGGGACAGCTGATTTCAGTTTGTTACAATTGTAGTTCGTTGTACACATTTCGACGAAAATATGCAGCAGGTGTCTGGGACAAAAAGCTGTGTCAGTTTGTTATGAGCATATTCATTATTAACATAGTTTAGTACCTGGTTTAGTTTGGGTTAAGATAGGCAAGGATGGAGCTGAGAGTTGGCAATAAGGAAAAAATATAAGTGTTTAAGAGAACACGGATCGATTCCAACAAATGTGGCAAGAATAATTACAAAATAGCTCTTGTACATATACCTACCCTATTCATGCTTCACTTTGTATTTGAGGAGTATCTGTCGTAAGTGAGTGTAAAGATGTCTGTTTATCTCTGGCCCAGCTCCGGCGCCGGGATACTATAACCTAATGTTTAATTGAGTAAATTTCATCTGACAAGTAAATTTTACACATTGAAGAGCGTAGACAGTGTTTTTCACTTTATACTCATACATAACATGAACTATAATTGTGACTTAAAGAAAATGTATGTTCGTGAAAAATGTAAGTTTTTTTAACCGACAACTGTTTTATAAGAGATGTTCCCATGGTTACAATTCACCAATATATTTATATCAATGCATTGTTTATTCGGTCTACTCCCATTTGTGAGAACTCCCAATTGTGAGATTCCCAGTTATGAGACAGTGGACTAGGTAATTAACAAAGAAAACACACCATACTCCCCTGTCTGATAGAATGGATTAACCCTAGCTAATTACTGATTTGCGATGTAAATGAATCTTGTGGAGGTAACTAAATGAAACTTACTTTATTTATATGTACTTAAAAATATATTTATGCAAAAGTAAATATTGATGACGTACATCCTCCATTTCATTTTGTATTTTATGTTGCATGGGAGTGGTGTAACATAAGCAGTAATGCTTGTTCACCAATCCCAAATCATTTTCATGAATAATAAAATATGTTTAAACAAAAATGACTTTCAAACTTCATAAAAGTCAATAAAAATGTGTTATCATAATTACATATTCTTCTGAATAAATAAAATATTTAATGAACTATTTCTTCTGTGTAAATATAATCTTTGATAATCTATTTCATTAATCAACTCATCAATGAACTATGCCTCTTGTGGGTACTCTTCAATAACTGGGCTGATCCCACTTTCATTGTAGGGATGTGGTAACACCACCTATGTGCACTGAACCACTAATTAATGTGTCTCACAACTGGGAGTTCTCACAAATGGGAGGACACCGTTTATTCCCTAGGGGTACAACATGCAATGTATGCTTACCGTGTTGGTTCATATTTTAATATATTGTTTCACATATGGGAAATTTTCTACAGCATTTGTTGACAAAATGTCTCCTCCCTAAATTTCAAGAAACAATAATTAATTAATTCTATGTCTACATTGTACAAAGTGCGTTGTAATGAGACTGAAATTCAGGTGTAATGTTTTTCTAACTGGTGTTTATACTAAAGCTTTATCTGAAAGTATTGATTAAAAGTAGACAGTTTTCTTTTCGATATGGGTCCATAGATTAATTAAGTTTAAAGCCTTTTTTAGTGGTGTTTATGTCAATGAAATATACAAATCATGCAATATTGACAGAAATTATGCTTCATGAACAAAGGATCATGGTACAGTTGTATACTGACATTCCTACCGTTTAATAGGCTAATGTCCTCAAGACACACTGAAGATTCAATGAAATATTACACTTTGTGAAAATAATTGTAATTTCTCACAGTCCCTAAACCATATTATTTTCCCTTCAACCCAGCACTGCCTGTAATGCAAAAGCTCTAAATGAAGCAAGTCCAGATTTCATCAGGTTAAGAATCTCCCATCTCACAATTTTCAATTTAAATGAAGTTCTTTGTTTCTCTGAGACCTAATTATTTTCAGAGACTAACTAAACGTGTAGCTGCGATTTATAACTTAGGTCAGTAAGTGGATGTCAGTAGCAATCTCTGAGTGTTGAGCATCCTGATTACGATAATGCAAAAACAAGCCAGAATTTTTTATCATAGTTTAGACTTTGTGGGAAGTTTCCACCCACAAGTCAAACCATCTACAAATAGTTTTAATAGTGTCCTAGAAAGGGCATATAGGAAGTCAGTCATAGATAATATCTCCTTGCCTGGTGACCTGCAGGAAATGCATAAGAGGAGATCATGTGACATCAATGAAAGACGTACAGCTCTGACCTCTAGATAGCATTCGATCTCATTGATAAGGTCACTTCCTGTCTTGTCTTTAGTGTGATGAGTTTTTGTGTGTAAGAACTGAGGATTCTGTGGAAATGTAGTTTCCTTGAGATTGTTGGACTTTGGCCACACAGGATATGCGTATGGTGATTACTCAGTGGTAGTTTGGTAGTTCTTAGCTTGAATGAATGTAGTAAAACCTCTGCCTAGCAGAAGTTACTTGTGATAACCTATTTGTAACTGGAGTCGAAGACATGGAAGGATGTGTAGGCTAGTAGACACAATGTCTAACTTTTACCACTTACTACCAGACTCCAGTAAGCTGAACTTATGACAACTTATGTGAAATGAGGAACTTGTTCTTGAAAAGATCTGGATAGTTGACTCAAAAGTCATCATGTATTAATTTTTACAAACTTGAAATTACTGAGAGAAAAAATCCAAAAAGGATATTGGCTCAGTTGACTGAAGAAGCGTAATGCAGTAGGCACATAGTGAACATTGATACATTCTGTGACGGTGAGTGTCACCTGTGTTTACCTTGTTGACTAAATAAAGTCATTTTCAAACTTTACAGTACACAGTACCCGTCTTTTACTTTACAGGACCCTTTAAATTGATTTTCGGGTCTTCTGTCCCGAGTTTCATAAGTCAAGGTAAAAACATATCTGGGCTCCCATTCCATAAAGTGATGGCAGTGCTACGACGGTCATAAGTCTATGCTAAAGTATGGGAGTTACGATCACCTTACCCTTATCGCATTGTAAAACGAGGCCCTCCACCCTAGTTACAACATATGTCTGTTGTTCACTTCTACATGACATGAGTAATACAGGGGATGTGGAACAACGTATCGGATGTGTGGTCTCGCTCACTATCCTTCCTATTATCTATATTGGTAGTACAATAGAAAGGAAATTATTCTGCTTTTCAACTATTAATTTGGTTACTATAACTATTCAGGATGTTACACACGTTACGATATGACCCCGTCATGACATCAGTAGATCTTCAAATCATGACTAATAGATGGTAGCTTTTGAACATTCATGTTTCAGTCTATTCTACAAGTGAAGCCCTTATGTGGTGTCTTTCACCTCAAGTCCCCACCAGCGATATTGCTTGAATGTTTCTTTTATTAAAGCTTAAAAGCCCAAGTGTCATTTTGTTTGAGTTCACTAGTTCTGCATGATGTTGAACATGATTTTCAGGGGTTGATTATTGGAATCATATGGACTATTACTAGCAGGGTTTGCTAGACCAAACAGAATTTTACTAGACTAAGCTTCAGACTAGTCACAAGCTTATATTTAAGGGTGGGTTTGTCGTTTAAATTCAAACTGGGGGTGAAGGAGGGATAAATTTAGGCTTGTTAGAAAGCTTTTGGTACAAACTGAAGGATTCGATACAGTCTGTAAATTATCAGTTATAACGTTTGTCCAGTCTCTATCAAATACTATGTATTTCAGAGTCTTGGCTACCCATCTGTTCGGCCCCAGACTGAGGGCATGAGGCCTGTCCAACTCCCAGCTGGACCTTACGGGATCCCAGATGTCATGGTCCATGGGTAAGTCTAAGGAACTGGACATCACCATACCTTCTCATTGTATATCAGTCTTGTATGTAGTTGGGTAAAAATTATTTTGTTTAAGTTTTAGTCCAAATGTCACTAGTCCTTCTTCAATTTTATTACCATGTGGTTTTGTACTAGCAGAATAACCAGTGATAACGGTGTTCGAGATAGTGTTTGCTTGTCACGGTAAAAGCCAGGGATGGATTTCCCATAGACTAAGGCTTAGTCTCTGAAAATATATTATTTTGATAGTAACAAACAAGCCCATTTATATTGAAAAGGAGCCCTAGGGAGACCAGAGATTCAGAACCTGAGGAAATCTAGACTTGCTTTATTTAGGGCTTTAGCACTGCAGAGAGGGATTGGCAGTAAGGAAATTAATGTGGTTCAGGGACTGTGAGACAGACTAGATTTCCCACTCTGTTGTAGTGTTTGATGCCCATTTCTAGTGTCCACAGCTGTGATATTGTTGCAATGTTTCTAAAAGACGCATTAAACCATATTCCCTCACTCATCCTCATATTGGTTGTGAGAAACCATTGCCTCTCAAGTCCTATGTTATTTGTGTACTGAGAGAGTTTTATGCATGTATTTCAGATTCCAGAGTGGTAAGGCAGCTACAGTGAGCAGACATCCTTTGGAACACACAGAGTCTAATGTAAGTATTTTTGCCATTTCTCTTAGCATGCGTAACTTTCCACAGGAGTCGGCATTCCTTGAAAATGATGGTTAGGTTGTTATATGTTGTGTGAGATTCAGATAGTTATGCTTAGAAGTACGAGCTGACATGTATATCCTGGTTGATACTCAGATATTTTCATGTGGATCACGTTAATTGTATTTATTTTTATGTAACAAGATTTATTTTGAACTCTTTTTTTGAACTAGAACATAAGGATCGTAACAATGTTCACCATGGTTTTCATCTATATCAAACATGGGCCAAGTGTGAAACATGGGCATGTTTTTTCGATTTCTTGTGGCATGTTTATGATGAGAAAATATAATGTCCTCTGAGACATACCTGAGTGATAAGGTTTGCTGTAATTACTGTGGTTAGGTAGGAGTGGTGTGTAGCCATGTGGTTAAAGCATTTGCTTATCACACCCAAAAGATCCGAGTTTGATTCTCCACATGGCTACAAAATATGAATCAGATTACTAGTGTCCACCACCATGACATTGCTGAAAACTTGCTAAAAGCGGCATACACACACACTGTGGTAAGGCACATCGTGACTCCTCTGCCTTATATATTGTTTGTATACCTCTTGTTACAGTGGGTGGAGAACCAGCGTCAGATGGATATGGCAATGCTGAGGAACATGCAGGGTCTCCATGCCCCACTCCGCCTCCAGATGGAGAGAAATGTCACATCTAGGGTGGGTCATCTTTCCAGCTATTGTGTAACTTTAGGAAAGAAAGCCAAAACTTGAATGGACATATCTGGTGCACCTTTCTCGAAGGACTCAGTTTAAGTGATTGTGTCACAGGTCAACTCTAATGACCTAAAAGTGACATTTAACTTTCTGTATTACGCATGTAGTACTGCTGATGTTTAGTTAGTATTTAGTTAGTATTGTGTACCTGTCAGTCATTCATCTCGGACCGCCTCCGTGGTGTAGTGGTTAGAGCGTCCGTCCGGAGAGTGGAAGGTCGCGGGTTCGATCCTCGACCGCGTCATACCAAAAGACGTTAAAATATGGTACTTGTTGGTCCCTGCCTGGCGCTCGGCATTTATGGGTACAACAAGGACTGGTCGGCTTGGAGTCAGTATAATGTGTCTGAGTGGGGTATTCATGCTTCACTAGCCCACATGGTATCTCAGTGGGCTAGCACTGTAAAACCAGCTTAAGTCTGGGCTAGTACAAGCAGCCGCACATACACATACACCCGCATGCACGTCGTCATATGAGTGAAATATTCTCAAGCACGACGTTAAACCCAAATTCACCTCACCTCACCTCACCTCATCATTAACCTCCAGTTGTCAAATTGAAGTCATGCATTGAGGTTGCCTCTTAAGAGGGACTTCCTCAAGAACATTGTCAGCTTCATGTTGAATTCAACAAAACATACATTTTGTCGGTTGATTTAGATAAAATTAGATGCTGGGCAAAATGATCAGTCACTTAAACTGAGAATGGTATAGTATATATCTTATCAATTTTAACAGAACTAGAAGTTTTAACTTTACTTCAGAATGAGTCGCATTACATGGAAAAGAGACGCTCTTCACAGGTCAAAGGCTGGTCTATTAACTCCATGCAACTATTTGTGGATCTAGAAACAGGGGATTGGGATAGCCAGGCATGGATAGATAAAATGTTGACTCGTCACACCAAATCCTGGGTTCAGTTCTCCACATGGTTATGCCAGCATTGATAATGCTGGGATATTTGGACTCAAAACATACTCACACACTGATGAAACCACTTTTGGTGGGAAGATATATATCAACTTGCTCTTCTGCCTATTGTTAAGTCAGAATGTCAGACTATTTAAGGAATATCCTCTTCAGTAGGAATCCTTCAGTGTTCACAACAGGTGTTTTAAATAGGGAACCCACTGTCTGTAAGCGGCAGACAAATTATGGCATTGAGTGGTTGGAAAGGCAGCTGAGTGTGGGTACTGACACCTTGTCTGAAGACTACTTAGCTGCTGTAATATCGACAACCTATAGAAGACATGAGTATCAGCCTGTACCAAACACTTGACCCTCTTGTTTAATTAGATTTTACTCCTTATATATGGCTGTCTTATGCTGAGTATGATAAAATTAAAATGAATAACCCTTACAAGACCCTGATTTTGTTCTACTGGCCTAAGTCACAGACTGTTTTGCTCTCCAGTGTGAAAAATAATCAGTTTGTTGTATGATTCAGTTTCAGAGGCTGCCATGTCTGAACAGCTCGAACCTGCTGGAAGATACGCTGACAGGGAGAGACGATCTTATTGACTTTGGTGACATTCTTAATAGTGAGTATACAGCTCAGTGTTTCATTAGCTGAGGAATATTAGAGATTGCAAACATCTAATAAAAATAGCAATACAGGAATTAACTGTGTTAGTTTTATTTCATTAAAGGTAGTCACTGACAGATACAAGTGTGTCACATTCGAACCAAAAGTCTGTGGAGAAGCCTTATGCATGAGGATTGTGATTTGAATGCAATGATATGTGGAAAGTTTGATAGTTAAACCAAGGGAGATATTTAAACCAAATACTACAGATGTGTCTGCCAGTGTTAGCTCATTCTCTGTTTCCCTTTTCTAACATTTATATGTTTCAGGGTCCCAATCCACAAGCTTTCGTAACATTATGACCTGTTGTAACTCTAAAGTTGATCAAAGGCTTACAAATGTTGTGGCGCTACGAACATATTGTGGATCGGAACCCAGATTTCATTGGTTATGTTCTTTAAGTAGAGAAATATTTGGGGGTAGGATTCATCAATTGTGTTTTCATTTCAGACCCAAATGAGGCTGAAGTCGTAGGTCAGCCACACGTGTTGATGGAGAAGCGCCTGAAGCTACTCTAGCTCCTGTTGTACATTATGATGTTATTTTCCCTTGTCATCTGTCACACTTGTATGTACTGAATAAACAATCACCATAAAATTCTTGTTGTTTTGTGCCTATACTGTTCATTATTTGCAACCGGAACAGCACCACTAGTAAATGAAGGTTTTTGACAGATGACAACCTTTGTCACCAACGCAACCACGTCGTCTGATGAGCTTGCATGAGAGTGTGTCAGTTGGGTTTCATGCTGTTTTTTTAGTGTTGGGAATTGGTTAAAATCTTATAATTGATGATTGGTTCATTACAACCGATCAATCATTGAAAATAGTTGGTTAGCATTATTTATCAAATTGTCCTGGTTATGTTTGTTAATGCACAAAAAATAAAGAAAAAACGTAGTTCTTGGTTGTTTTGGCAAATTTCATGTATTTAAAGGATGACTAATATGTTAGGAACATAAATTTCCTGGAGTCTTCAAGATAAATTTTAATCATGACTTGGAACAAGCTTGTAGTGCTTATGAAACGCAACAAACAAAACCAACCTTGTGATAAATATTGTCAGTGCAAACAAGTGTTCCCAATTGTTTGTGTTCGATTATGACAAAATGTGATCGATTGCATGGTTGTTTAGTCATTGCGACCAATCTTCGATTATTTCAATTAATTGGACCACCACTACTATTTTTGCCAATATTCCAGCAATATTAAAGTAGGGGACACCAGAAATAGGTCTGATGCATTGTTCAAATGTGGGGAGTGGAACCTGTTTTTTTGGTGTCAACTCAACACTGTAACCATGAGGCTACCCCACCACCCTATCTTGTATCAGAGTGAGTGAGTTTAATTTTATGCTGATTTTAGTAATATTCCTGCAATATCACAGCGGTGAATACCAGAAATGGGCTTCACACATTGTACCCATGTGGGGAATCGAACCCGGGCATTAGGCATGATGAGCGAACGCTTTAACCACTAGGCTACCCCACTGCCCCTTGTGTCAGAAGCATGTGTACCAGTACTGTAAACCAGGCCCCAATTTCTCGAAACAAACTTAAGTTTTTACTCAAATTTCAAACTGAGTTTGACAATTTGAAACAGCTGAATTTTTAACTCAACTGCATTTTTAAAATTAAAAAAAGCCCAAACAACTTAAGTAATCTATCCACCAAACTCAAATTGTCTGCTATGTTTGAGTTTAATATCAATTTCAGTTAATTCTAGGAAATGCATTTGCTCACATTTGAGTAAAAACTCTAACTTAAGTCAAAACTCAGACTTAAAGTTTGTTTCGAGAAATCGGGGCCAGGACACCTACAGGATAAACCTTCGTATAGATCTGCGAAAGGACTTTGACCTGCTTTCCTGTAAGGTGACATTTACAGCAAAATGTACAGGTCATAAAAAGAACAACTGATGTTTTCATAGGCCTTAAGTTCATCTGTCCAGTCAGGTGCTCTTCAATTTCTTTAGATGGTATACTTCAGCAAGAAATAACACCAGATCATCTCCATGACATATTCAATCAAATCCACATTGTGTTATGAAAGCAAGTTAATTTTTACAGCAGAACTGTCACCATCCTCAGTAATCCAGTGTCATATGGCCACACCAGTATAATATATTCCCTAGACACATTTGCCACCATAGATTCATTTCAGATGTGACATCACCATCACCATCACCATCACCATCCCAGTTTTAATAGGTGTAACTTAGCACATTCTAATGCTCATGAGTGTGATTTGACTGGCCAGCTATTATTTGCTCTGTGACCTTTGAGTTGAGCTAAAAGAGAAACTCTAGCAGTTAATGGGTCATGTGACTTTATCAAATAGAATGGCGATAAAATACACTTTGTAATAGAAGTAACAGCTCACCATTTCTGTATAAATTCCATAAATGACAATTTGACAATTCTGAGGAAATTATTATTTTGAGTGATGACCAATAGTTGTGACAGTTATTGTTCAGAGTGGCCAGTGAGTTCTTGTCCCAGAATCAACCCCAACACCAATAGCCTGACTTCATCATTATCTGGTTGAACAACCTAGTGTTATTGTTGCCCAAACCATCTGATGACATGATGGTACCCAGTTCATGATGCTCGAGATGTAGAGTAGCTCAGTGGGTTACCATCAGCTTGACATTCTGAAGCCCAGGGTTCGGTTCTCTACTTGATTATAATGTGGGAAAACACATTCCTGCTGGCATCCCTTAGAAACTACCCTCTTACGGCTATAAACACTGTACATGTCTTCTTTTCGCAAGTTCTACTTGTAAAACAGCTTTACGGGGACGGTCTGTAAATAATCTAGTCTGGACCAGACAATCAAGTGATCGACATCGTGAGCATAGGTCCATGCTATTCGGATACCATGGCATGCATCAACCAAGCTAGCGAGCCTTACCACCCGATTCCATTGGTCTCTTCTTACAAGGATGCTGAAGACCAATTCAAACTAAGGTCGTTTCTCATTTTAGCATTAAGAGATCATTAAAATCCGCTTGCCCCTCTGCTCTGAACATGTACAGATGAAAACCTTAGCTCAGTATGAAGTATTTACACAGCCATGGGTACTGGATAAAGGTTCGAGTAATTACAATCAAGCCAAGCTCCACATGAAGCTTCTGGGTTGCGTTCGCCCCAGATCGGCGGAGCTCATTCTGTTTCTTCTTCCCGGTTCCATGTGCAGCGGGTTTCCTCATCACGGCATTGTTCAGAAACAGTCATATGCGGACTTTTTAAAGTTTACAGCTCCCCGCCAACGAGCAGATGGAATGCGGACATCTTGTCTGTTGCTGCAATGGTTCTGGTACCAGAACAAATACACTGAATGGCTTGAGCCTGAATAAATTGGTTATTCGCGATGATTTTTCAGATATTACACGTTATACAGATATAACTAACAATAAGCTACAAGTAAATGCGTTTTACACATTCACAAACAACGCAAAATCCAATATTGATGTTTTTCCTTTAACACCGTCCTCAGCAATATTATTGATTTATAACGGAGTTTGTTAATGATCGTGTCCGGACGTGTCAATCCAGTGATTGACACGATGAACATCGATCAACGTATATGGGTCATGATGACATGCATCAACCGAGGACGATTTCGAGTAAATAACTCTGAGACAAATACCGAAATATCCACTTTTCTGTCAAATATAACTACAACAGAAAAATAGTTATGTGCAAATATGCCGTCTTGTTTATCTCGTGAAATGGCGGTTGGATAGCCATATGTTTAAATGTCGGTCGTCACGCCGAAAACCCACATGGTACAATTTGTGAAGCCGAAATTCTGGTGTCCCCCGTTGTCACATTGCTGGAATATTACTAAAAGGCGTAAAACCATTATCTCTCACCTCATGGGCAAAAATATAGGAACATATTCATTAACATAAGACGAGCATGATTATTTGACTTGACATTTGGTATACACAGAAAATGAAGGATGGAATGTCAGCTGACAATACCCCAGTACATGTCAGAACACCCTCATTGTCATTGAATGTTTCATCAATTAGACATGCAGGAAGCATTGGGAAATGTTGTATTTGTTTTGTTGTTGTTCATATAAATAGCAAATAGTACATATATGTGAGCTGACAGTACCCCAGGTCAGAACACACATCACTCATCACCACCGTGTTCTTTTCTTGTTCTTATTTTTTAAATTTTTATTACTTTTTTTTGTTGTTTATGCCGTGCAAAAGTACATGAGTACTTAGTTACTACATAAGGGACTCTGTAACAGCAACACAACATGTCATTAGTTCTTTCCTGTCTCCAGCGCGGGTCGGCGCAGAGGAAGTTACAGAAGAGTGATTGTTTTATCATATCTGTACCAGCATCAATCTGTTAGCACGACGTCTTCCTGTTTACAATCCACGGAAAATACTAAATGGCCTCACGGGATGTTGTGAAATATGCCCAGGCACATTTTCATCGAGGATAGTCAACAGGCTGATGGTATTAAATTGAACTTGACGATCCCGAAATCACCAGAGAGAAAAACCAAATATTTATTCTGGTAGGCCGGATCCCGGCTTTAAGTGTAGTCCGTTATCTCTACAGCTGACAGTCCATACTGATGGCACAATGATCTGGATTGGATATGTCTTTGCACACTTTTTTCTCATTATTAAGACAATTATTCTATTAGAGTTCTGGTTTATCACCGTGTGCTTAGCGGAAGGTGTTTTGCTACTTCCAGCGTTTATCTGTTAAAAAATACATATTTCCTGAAGAATCTTGGATTTTGAAATTCAAACAGCTACTGGTCACCGGATTACAATGAAATGCAGGCCAATGTAGCTTATACCAATGTAAAAACAAACCCGCAGCCGAGGCCGAGGGTCGAGAAGCAATGCAACGGAAAGTTCTAATTCGTATGCCTTTACTATGGGCAATTATTAAAAGCTTCGTATTTTCATTATCACAATAGCGAATTACTGTCCATTATTTTGTCCTATCACAATATCACTCAAAGGACCATGCAGATCGATGCTCATGATGTTGATCACTGGATTGTCTGGTCCAGATTCAATTATTTACAGACCGAGGCCCTATAACTGGACTATTGCTGAGTAAGGCGTTCAGCATCAAACCAGGGAGACTATATAACCATGTTGTAGAGTATCCTGATCAAACACACAAAAAACAAACAAATCAAAGGACCAGGTAAAAAATATTCCAACTGGCAAACGAGGTCGACTTGGGTTGTGAGCCAAGACGTGTTGATGTAATTCTACGACGATGTCGTATTGGCCACAGTCGGTTTACTCATGATTTTCTGCTCAGAACAGATGGAGATGGACCTCTCCAGTGCGTCTTGCGATGAAGTGTTCACCATCAATCATATTCTTATTGACTGTGTAGACTTTTCAAATGCAAGGGACTCACATTATGAAATATCTGTTTCTTTCGTGAGTGGGCATCTCATTGTAACTAATTTGAGAGAAAATTGATCTGTATTATAAATTGTAACTTTATATATGTGTGACAAATAGTCTGTTTTTAAATTTGGTGGTATAACTTTGCTATTTGCAAACAATACTGTAATGAAGAAATATGGATTTAAGAAA